TTATCTACAACATAGTATTACTGAGTACAAGGTTTAATTCAAGCACCTTTCTTAATGTGCCTTCCAAAAACTTGCAACAAAATTTGGCATTGAGAGCTTAATCTTTTGTTAAATTGGACGTTGTTTTAGTATATATATTTTTTAAAAAAAACCTAGCTGATTTCTAGACTACTGAGGCAAGCTCCCAACATAATGTAAAAAAAACATTCTGCAATGAACCAAGAAAACCAATACATGTGTTTTACATTTAAATCAGAGATAATTTGGAGAAAGCATTTTTGTCCCTCTTGAATAGAATAGAATAACAGAGTTGGAAGGGGCCTTGGAGGTCTTCTAGTCCAACCCCCTGATCAGGCAGGAAACCATATAACATTTCAGACAAATGGTTATCCAATCTCTTCTTAAAAACTTATAACATTTACAATTTCTGAAGGCAAATTGTTCCACTGATTAATTGTCCTAACTGTCAGGAAATTTCTCCTTAATTCTAGGTTGTTTCTCTCCTTGATTAGTTTCCACCCACTGCTTCTTGTCCTATCCTTAGGTGCTTTGGAGACTCCATACTGGAACACTGCTATCTTGTCACCCCTAGTTCTTCTTTTCATCAAACTAGGAATACCCAATTCCAGCAACCATTCTTTTTATATTTTAGCCTCCAGTCCCCTAATCATTTTTGTTGCTCTTCTCAATAAAGGAGACATTTTATATAAAAAAGAAATGTTGCAACTATATATATTTTAATAACCACACTGCACATAGCTCACCAGTCTCAATTATTACAGCTATAATTTGAATTAATAACATGAATACCACCACAGGTATATTATTAGGGTTGCAGTTCTATTTTTTATTTTTATTGTATTGTATTACATTGATAAGCCAGCTGACTCATTACATGATACACAATTTTTTGAATAAAACAATACACATGGTACAAAAAGAATATTCTGTGGGAAAGCTACCATGTCATACACCACATAATCCACAAGAGATTCACCACCACTGTAGTCCAAAGTTCAGGAAAAGAGCCAGGTCTTAAGGGATGCAACAAGGTTAACATAGGAACTTATAAATATTTAGGAGAGTATCATTCTATGGGACAGTCACCACAATAGAGAAAGCCCATTCCGTGAATCCCAGGCCAACTTTCTTAGATTGTACACAATAGGCAGAAATTCTGGAAGGCAGTCAGACAGTCTGTCAAGGACTATGCCATTAAACTTTACAGATAATTAGCACTGTGAAGTACACATGGAAGCCCATTGATAACCAATGTAGCCACCAGAAATGGGTGTTTGATGGACATATCAAGGCATGCCCATAACTCATGCTGCTATCTTCTAGGCCAGTTGCAGCTTCTGCGAGGCCTTCAAGAGTAGCCCCACATACAGTGCATTATAGGGTGTGTGAGGTGTGTGTGTGTGTGTGCATGCTTGTGCCGGTGCACATTTAGGTCTGTGCTGTGAGAAACTTTTAAATTTGCTTTCCACTTAAGTATCCAGGCCCAAATCTCATTTTGTAGATACAGGTGGAGTTGGGAGGGTAATATTTCCTTGACACAACAAGTCTCATTTCTGAGTGGTCTTGAACTGTTTCCTCCAACACCATTATGTTTGCTCTGCAAAATACAGGAATTGTGGTGTCACTTTTCATTGTAACTATTCCTTCCAGGCACTTTTTCTTATCTTCTTTCACTTTCCTGTTTTTCTTCCTATATGGTCACCCTTAAGCTGCACAAAGCCCTCTCATTGGCTCCAACCAACACATTTCCTCTAGGGATGAATGAGTTCACCGATACAGCCACCGACAGGCAGTCTCAGGACAAAGTTCTACTGATTCTTCCATCAACATCCCATTGGCCACTGACAGAGCCTTGAAGGAAATGGGTTATGGCCAAAGGCTACATCAATAGGAAAGCCATGTGAATTAGGTCAAAGGTTTGGGAACTTAGAATAGCTCTGCACAAAAAAAAAACAAAAAAAAACAGCCCTAGCCCCTTATTGAGTCTAATGCTCACATGCTCACAGCAAAGATGCCCTGCAGATAGGAAGATGTACTTTGCTATATAGTGTTGTAACCTCATCAATTTGTAATCTATATGAATCTATCTTTATGCACACATATAATCAGCTTACCTATTTCATTAGGAATGTGAAGGAACAAGTTGAGTGACCTTGACAATAATGTATCCCTTTTTATTTATTTATTTATTTATTTATTTATTTATTTATTTGATTTGTCAATCGCTTACAAGATAATAGGTATAAGTATAAACATGAGCAAGAATGCAGGAAATAGGAACTAATAAATGGGGACAAAAGGACAGGGACAGTAGGCACGATTGTGCACTTTTCCTGTTCTGAATGCTTGCAGATTCTGGATGGGGAATTCTGGGAGAGGAAATCCACACATCTGGAGGCTGCCCTGCACACAAGCAGATGGCAGATCTGGTGGCCTAGAGGTAGAGCTCTTGCCTCACAATCAGGAGGCTGTGAGTTTGATCCTAGATAGAGGCTAATATTTGGAGTAGACTCTCCTGCTCGAGCAGGGAGTTGGACTAGATGACCTCCAAGGACTCTTCCAACTCTTGTTATTCTATGATATACACACTTTATGATCACCCTGCACACACTGTATGATCGTTTGCAATAACTATGATGGTAATGGAAAATGAATCACAACTGTCACACTGACCACTAGATGTCACTCCTTACTAACCTGAAAGAAAATGATATCACAATAATGGTAGTCCTTGATTTACAACCATTTGTTTAGTGATCGTTCAAAATTACAACAACACTGAGAAAAGTGACTTCTAACCGGTTTTTACACTTACAGCCATTGCAACATCTCCATGGTCACGTGATCAAAATTTGCATGCTTGGCAGCTGGTATGTACTTATGACAAGTAAAATCAATGAGGAAGCCAGATTCATTTAACAACCATGCTACCAGCTTTAACAACTGTGGCAAGGAAGGTCATAAAATGAGTCAAAACTCACTTAACAACTTTCTCGCTTAGCAAGAGAAATTTTGGGCTCAGTTGTGGTCATACGTCAAGGACTACCTGAACAGCTTTAACATCCGCAAGAGGTACTCAGCTCCCATTTGCAACACCAAGTCATTCATGATTCCAAGGTACAAACCGGTTTCTTCACTATCAGTTGCCTTCTTCACTGATATATAGATATCCATAGAGCTTTGTAAGGATGAAAATATGTTAGCTAAAAGTAATAAACTTTTATTTATTTATTTATTTATTTATTTTTCACATTTTTGAACCATTCATCTCCCTCAGAGAGGGATTCTGAGCAGTATACAGATAAAATATAAAAACATTAAAAGAGTATATATAATTTAAAGGTGGGGATAAATTTAAAAATCAATGTAAAAATATTGTCAACTTATAAAATATTCCTATGCCTGTTTTAATAGTTGCCATAAAAAAGGGGGGGGAGGAAATCTGGAAAAGCAGTGCAGCAGTTTGAAAGCAAAATTACATTCCAACTCTTATCTTTAAAAGATTGTAATTAAAATACCAGAGCTTTTGCCCACTGCGAATATATTTAATTGGGGAACGTGAATGATGACACCCAGCCCATGAACATGCTCAATTGGAGAATCTGGTTTATGAGACACCCAGGGAGGAGGGAGGAAACAGGGTCACAGGTGACTGTAAATTACATATGCCAGAGTTGGCTTCATACAGGGCAGTGCCAGTAGGTCGCCTCTAATAAATCCTTTGAAGTTTTTTGAAGTTTGGCTCGAGAATCATAATTTAATTAGAGTGATTGCTGGAATCCTGACAAATATATTAAAAAGCAGCAGGAAGATTTTTGAATCATTACCAGCCTTATGGCTGCATAGTCCTAGGTGAGCCCCAAGCAAGGAGGGCTACAGAGACGTATTTTTACACTTTTCTGGAAGGACAGGGCAGTTGGAGGTCCATCTCACTTCTGAGAGAAGAATGTTTCACAGGAAGGGGTCGATGGCAGAGAAGCAGTGGTGGGATTCAAAAAATTTTACTGCCGGTTCTGTGGGCGTGGCTTGGGGGGCGTGGCAGGGGAAGGATACTGTAAAATCTCCAGTCAGAAGTGGTGTTTTCCAGTTCTCCAAACTACTCAAAATTTCTACTACTGGTTCTCCAAAACTGGTCAGAACTTGCTGAATACCAGCTCTGCAGAGAAGATTCTCATCTTGGATCCTGCCAGCTGGAATTCTTCTGAGTCAACAACAAACCTTCTCTGCCTAACAGGACAAGTCAATATAATGGGACAAAGATGATTCTGCAGGAAAACTGGCCCATGGGCTTTATAGGTCACAATCAACACCTTGGACACAAAACAAATGATAACGCTCAAAGTAAATTTTTAAATATAACTTTAGTCCAGTGCAACAGTTTGTCCCTCCTGTACCCTTCCTCTGCTCTGCTTAATGTACTCAACTACATATCATTATGTAGATCTATCATCAAAAGATCTATCATTATTTCATTAAGCTCTTGGAAGAGAACTTCTTGCCTTTCCTATCTAGTGGTAAGATCTGCCTGGCAGACAGAAATACAAGAGTCAACAAATATTTGATGCAGGATTAAAGTGATCTTAGTGCCACAGATTGGCTACATTTACTTATTTTAAAATAGGATTCTTTTAATCCCTGGTTTGCTGAGCAAACTCCAATAGTTTGCACAACAGTCTAAATGCAATTGTTGGGGTCACATCACAAGCATAATTTGATCAATCCATATAATAATAACATGAGGTTTATGGACAGAGCCATGTTGTGTTTGACTGCCTTAATATTTTGTTAATGGGCTAAATCACAAAGATTGACCCACCCGCCTGATCATTTAACAGAGACTTTAATATTGCAGAACACATTAAAGATCTGGAATATCTTTGCAACCCATCAATCTGAAGGAGAAAAACTAGAAGAGAGATGGGCAATAGATGAACAGCTTTCAAATTTCAAAATGCTTTACAATAAAATATCATACCTACCAATAAGGACCTCGTCTCTGTCCAGTTCTGCTTTTCAAATTAAATTCCTGGGATCAGATTTTTAAAAGTTGAATCATGCGTCATTAGCATCAGGATCAGAGATTAGGGTCTTGAGAAAGGAAGTAAAAAGAAAGAGGACAAGCCTGAAATCTGAACAGACTTTAGGCAGGCAGTCATTGGGATTTGAGATACATAAAATAAAAGCTGGATGTTTTAACATTGAATTGGGTTTCTTTGGGTTGCTCTTCTTTCCCAATATTAGAGTATCTTTGTTGCTATGGTGTAGGTCCATGCAGTCTGGGACTCTAATCCATTCTCCAACCAGAAAAAAAAATCATTGGCTGATTTTGAGCTGATCACCCATTTGATATGGAAAATAATGGTGCTATGTATAAGACCTTATGCTCCTGGAGAAAAAACAGAATCTAACCTCAATCAATCAATTAATCAATCAATCAAATAAGGAATATATTAAATCCTGTACACTGCTCCTACACATCACACTGCATGGGAAAGTGGATGTATACACATGCCCCCATTCTATTATCTTTACATTGGGCTATTTCTTGCCATCCATTGAGAGAATAAAACAAAACATGCTTATTGCTTTTCTTATCAATCTTTATCAATGCTTTCTATTTGTCCATACCGAAAAGTATGATTAATGTAATACTGTGTGCTTGTATCCATCTGTAATACTGATCATAAAGATTTTTTGCTTTGCATACAGTTCTGTTGGATTATGTGTCAGTTGTTTTACTTATTTTTCTGATTCACATAGCCGCCCATGTACCCAGAAGTACTTCTCAAAATTGCTGTGTTAGCACTGAGTGCAGCAATGTCACAAGTGCTAACTATTTACAATGGAGCAAGATCCAAAGAACAAGTCAGCAACACTGGAGTTTTCAGTTGAATCTTTGTCAGCTGATGGTATCTTGTGCTCCTGATTTCTTGCTCTCAGTTCCTCTCTACAGACTTCCAAGATCTGCTTAATCACCAAAAGAAAAAGGAGGCATGATTATCAGCATTTATCTTCTCGTATACCAATAAAGATCACTCAGAAATGCAACATGTGTGATTGTAATACTGCCCATAAGTACTGAATGTCATGATAGCTCTCCAGGAGACATTTTCATACTGAGAGGCACTTTGTTTTGCCTTCATGCCTAGTTTGTTCTCTTAAGTGAAAACAGCCAACATGCTTCTCACTTGGTTGCATTTCAAATGAGTTTTCCGATTTTTTTTTCTTCTGAAGAGCTTCTTTGAAAAGAAACCTGAAAACTTTTCCTTCTCCAATTTCATGATTCAAGCAATTTCTTGATACTCACAAATGTCTTGGAAGTCAAATTACTGAATACAGGCCAGATTTCCTAGCTGGGGTAATGAAATGTCTGGAAGAAAACAAGCAAACTCAGAAGAGCACCAAGAACCCTGCAGATTTCTATTTTACCACTTCTCTAGTTGCGCAAGTCAGTTTACATGGGGATCTTTCTTTTTTTCACCCCATGGGGATTCCCTGAATTTTATTCCCAAAACTACAAACCTGTGAATAAACTGGGCTGAAAGGAAGTGGCTTACAGAGGCTAGCTTCAGTTCTTTTCCAAACTAGAGAAAGAGGAAGTAGAAGAAAGAGAGTTCCAGTTTAGGCTAGATCTAAATAAGCAGAAGAACCAAATATAAAATGAACAAAATACATGCTTTTCAGTTTCCTTTTAAATTCTGGCTTTTAAATTCTCTCAAGCACTTTCATAATAATTATTGAAGATGGAAATAAACTTCAAGACTATACAATAGAAAAGAAGGTAAATCAGACATATTTTGTTTATGTTTCCAGAAGCTGAGCCACAATCCAAACCAGAATTAAATGCACTAATCAGTGGCCTGAAATGTGCTTTCTTTAGGGTTCAATCTACAGTTGCCAACTGAAGGGAGCAAGGAGAGCACTTGTCACATGCATCACGTCACCATGCAAATATTGCAAATTACATATTCTGCATGATGTGACTGATACATTCATATAATTCCCACTATTGGTGCAATGGCATAATATACAGTACTAGCTCCATACCTGTTCTTCGCTATAAAACTATGTGGTTGGGCTTAGTTTTGGGTAGGAAAATAAGGGGAAAAAATTATGTCTCTGCCTACCAGTATCCATCGGTATTCATCTGGCTAGCATCCTGTCAGTGTGTGAGAGAGTTGAGGGCTGTTTGGAAATTGAAACAGTATTTGCTGTTCAAGCAAGGAGACAGCAAGGAACCCTGACCATGGCTTAGCTCAACTGTTCTGTACTAAAGCTGCTTGGTGTTGTGAAACTGAAATTGAAACTCCTCTCCTCTGCTTGTGTTTTGTATTTGGAACAGATTTCTTTTCAGGTGGGGAGGGAGAGTAGAACTCCTTAGCATCAGAGTGTGTTGATAATAATATACGAAATACTAATGCTGTGATGGTCGTTTCGAAAAATCCTTTCTTAGTGAGCACCTAGAAGCCACGAGGAACATACGTGCCAAATTTCAAGTTTGTAGGCTTTATAGTTCTGGAGATTTTGTGATGATGCATGAGTGGTATTTCCCTTTTATATATATAGATAGATGACAACATCATAGCTTCTATCAAAAATCTGTGGCTGGCCTTATCTGCTTCTGCAAGGATTTGATTTCAGTAGAGTGGCTTTTTGGTTTTTTTTTAATCCCACTATCTATCTCCCTTAGCTAAGAAACTAGTTAAAATGGAAGGGATTTAATTCACATGCTAAATTGTGGGATGTTAAGACTTTAGAGTGAGGTTAAAATTCAGAATCTAGATGAAAATATGGACAACCAGGGTACCTATAGTAATTTTATGTGAATTTACCTGAACATGGATTCCACAGATTGTTCAGTACAATTCCTTTGATTATAGAGCAGGGGTGTCAAATTGGCAGCCCGCAGGCTGGATGCATCACATCCACCCCAGCTCCACAAAGGGGGAAAACATCACGAAATGTCACTTGACAGCAACGTGATGCGGCGAACCTGCAGAATAAGACTTCTTCATTGCACCACTTCAAATGCTTTGGGCTTTATTTACTTCCCTCTTGTGGATGCACCTGGCAGATGGCAGCATGTTTTGTGATATAATGAAAGATTATTGGGATGCATTAAAAACATATTTCTCTTTGCTTTGCCTTTTACAATCTGAGCAAAGATCCTTAGATGGTTCCTTGCACAGAAATTACAATTATCTTAAAAGTGCATAATATGATAAAAATACTATTGGTTCCAAAGGCTGCTGTAAAATACCTGGGAGGTAGATAAAAAGTGACCCATCTGCTGTGAAAATAAACAGTAATAACAGATAATACAGTTCAGACTCTGCCTGCTGTAAAATTAGGATGGCCCACAGAAAGGGTTCTTTTGCCACAATCTGCTTACAACGCATCTTACTGGGGAACAGTTGCAAACTCTTCAAGAAGACCAAGACTCATATTGTTAAAGGCATTGTTGGAAGAGAGCCAAGTTTTGCTTTTGTTTGTTGTTTACTAAATTTATATAGCCCCCCCCATCTCACATACATGAGATTATGGTAGTTAAGAATCAGAAGGGACATTTTATTAAAAGATGTAAGTTTTCCTGGTCTACAGTTGCCTTGTATCTGATGAAATGTAAATTTATGGAAAGCTTACACCTTTTAATAAAAATTATTATTCCATATTGATTAACAGATGAATGTTTTCCATCTCCCTCTCTTAAGCAGAAGAAGGGGTCAAGTCAAGCACTCTTAAAAGAAATCAAACAACAAGGATGCAGTTTGAAAAATACTAAGGACCAGGGAGAAAGAGGGGAACATTTGAATTACCTTACCTACAAAATTTTAGGATTCTCTAATTTCCTCCTTCAGTGCTGTAGGAACCATGAACTTTGGCTGTTCTGTTGGATGTTTGTGTTTTGAACTATCTTGTGATTTGGCAGATAGACAAAGGGTTGGAAAGCATTTCAAATTAGCTGCATTTCAAATAGACTTCCTGAAATTAATGGGATTCAATTATTAACTTCAGCTATATTCATTCATTCAGTGGGTCTACTGTAATTAAGGTTATGTTTGGATACAAAATAAATATTTCAAGATATCAATAAGCTCTCACCTTCTCAATGCATATGTTGCTTTGCATTCCTTTTGTTTATAAAATTGTCACTATTTTGTAGTTTGTAGAGCAGGTGTTTCTCAGAGCAGATATTTATAGGATTTATTAGCATTTCTCTACTGTTCATTGTGCTGTTTCCTATAATTTCATTTGATCATATTTCTTCACTCCCTATGTTTTAAGACATGAAGCAGGATTATTTTTTTACAATGTGTCCTAAAAACAGCCATATAGTAACCTGCATCTGAAATTGTTAAAATAGCTGCTACAAAGTGCTTTCCAATTTAACAACAGGATATTATTCAGAATTAATAACTAGAAGGAAAGTCTCCACACCAGAGGTAGTATTCAGCAGGTTCTGACCAGTTCTAGAGAACTGGTAGCTGAAATTTTGAGTAGTTCAGAGAACTGGCAAATACCAACTCTGACTGGCCCCACCCCCATCTATTCTCTGCCTCCTGAGTCCCAGCTGATCAGCTGAGTCTTCTTTTGTTGCCCTGCACAGGAGAACGGAGCTGGAAAGCAGGTTAGTGGGATGGGGAGGGAATGGGATATTGCAGTAACCTTCCCCCATGAGTGGGGTGGGAATGGAGATTTTACAGTATCCTTCCCCTGCCACACCCACCAAGCTACGCCCACAGAACCGGTAGTAAAAAATTTTGAATCCCATCACTGCTCCACACCTGTTTTTCTGACCAGGCACCGATACTACACCTGCTCATTTGCAAAGGTGGGGCCTTATAAAGGATTCCAGAGCTGACTTTTGGGAAAATATGGAAGAGCTTTTAAAGAGAGTCTTGAATAAGAGATTGAAGGAAGAGTAAAAAACTAAAAATAACCCCATCTTGAATTTTTGTTTTTGTTTTAGTATGACACAAGAAAAAAAAAACATGAACAGATTTTCAAGATTCTGTTATTATACCATACAATAAAATACCATTCCTAAAATCTCTGATGGATCTTTTTCTTAACCGGGTTTAACCTGAAGGACTGACCAGCCTCAGGGTAGGGACACTTATGAAACTGTCTATTCATGAGAGAGTCTCCCTCCCTCCCTCTCTCTCTCTCTCTCTCACACACACACAATATCCTGGCCCAAGCTACCCATTATGTCAGACAAACCACAATGGTAAAGAGATAATGATAATGTGACAGAACCACACTAATAGGGCTACCATATCTGTATTGAAAAAAATCCATATGATCACAAAATAGCAGGAAACCTAATTTTTCACTGCCATCAAGTGATTTCATGTGAGATTTATAGTCTAGG